CCTCCAAAACGTCACCAAAAATAACTGTGTCAGCAGTTTCATCTGAAGATATATCCGAATATTGCGTTGTGTATGTTGACTGGGTCAAAAACATGCCATCATCATCTGAGCTATCGATGTCCATCCTTACGACTGTCTCTGACAGGCGGTTCAAGTTATGGAGACATGCGGGTTTTCGCGCACAAAATCACGTGCATTTTATACCATTATTAAAGTAATGGAGACATACGGGTTTATACAAACCAAACGTGAAAGGTATGACATTTGCTGACGTAATGGAGACATGCAAGGGTAACACGGGTACAAAGCACGTGCGAGTTATTTTATTTGGTGAAGTAGTGGAGACATACGTGTTTACACGCACACAACGCATGTGAAAAGTGGCAGTTCGTTCTTTGACGCCTAGAGGGTCTCCACTAAGGAATAGAGTTGATATAATACTTTTACCGAATACATTTTTCCTAAAATGTTTTATTAAGGTTTAACTGAAAAAAAATATTTGGTGTTCATTGATCTGCATTGTATTCCCCGTTAGGTTTGGGTGTATTTTAAGTCGGAGAAAGTCCGAGTATCTGTCCATTCCTGAAAGCTAATGGAGCCTTGGCCTTTCGGGCCTCGTCTCCATTACCTTTCAGGAATGGACAGATACTCGGACTTTCTCCCACACATAACGTCAATTATTGAGAGTAGAAAGCTACAGAAAAAATCCACTTTCGCCGTATTTACTGACTTTAAGAAAGCGTATGACGGAATAAACATGTGCAAACTCTTGAAAAGGTAGAACAGTGTGGTGTTAAAGGTATAATTCTTCAAGCAATATCATCCCTGTACAGGTATGTACAGTGTTCTGTACGCATCAGTCGCGTGAACAGTACACCAACACGGCGTTATCAACCTGGAGAATGAAACCTTGTCCGTGGCGGCGTGCACGCGGCAGGACGTGTGGCGTGATGGTGTGGTCACGGTAGTAGACACCAGTGACTCTCCGTTGGCAGAGGCGGGGATCGGTCCTGCCCGGCATCGTGATCCCACCCAACACCATAACAGACCCCTCTCCATATCGACCATGTGGAATCATGGCTGGTGGCGTTCACCTGGGCGTCGCCTGCCACGATGACGGTCGTCATTGAAGTCCAAGGTAAACCTTGACTCATCGTGCTTTAGTCGGATATGGGACCACCAAGCATTGTTCCACCGCTGGTGACAATGACACCCGTCTCTCCGGGCCTGCCTGTGACGGTTTGTTAGGGGCAACGTAAGGGGATGTAAGGTTGCCAGCATGGAGACGGTTCCGTATAGTCAGTGTGGAGATGCGGTTTCCAGTGGCTTGTCTGTGTACTTGCTGCAGCTGTGTCGGATCTTGTCGACGATGACGGAGGGCTCCAGTGATGATCCGCTGGTTATCACGTCAGGTGGTACATCTGGGGCGACCACTTCGAGGCCCATCCTGAACTCTTCCAGTGGCAGTATAACGTACCCAGAGCCGGCTGGCCAGAGACTGACACCCAGATGTGCTTCTGTGTGGGCTTGTGTTCTTCCGGCCTGGAGCATCCCTCCGGCTCTCGATTTTTCGTCTTCTCGTAATCTTCGTTTTGTAGAAAGTTGTGAAATGATGGATGGCCATTGTCCTAGACCAACATTTATAGCCATACTTGCACATGTTGCACGTACATTTTGGCATTTGCACGTGTGAAACATGGTGTGATTTTTCATACCCACCCCCTGGTTCCAACCGTCTTTTGTCCGTTCAGTATTTATTTGTACTAGGGCCGGTACACAGTTAGAATTTCATTGTCGTATGTAAAGACATTGTATAACCATAAGCATTATGGGCATGTTTACATTATCGTAATTTACTTTATGGTAAGTGTAAAACGATATTGCTGCTAGGATATTACCTGACAGAACAAGGATCCGACTAAAACACGTGTTTAACATCATCATACACACCGACGCTGATACCGGGAGATTTCAGTCAGTCATGGAGGAACCATACAACAGGGAATGAGATCACACGATGAAACTGCAGATACATCTGGTGACGCGTGTATTCCACACGGTCCCTTGACACAGAAGATTCCACACTGTCGAGGAACCCAAGTGTCAACACACGTTACCACACCTGTTGTGCAGTTCGAGGGGTTGTCTGCATAACACTTCATGTACGTGGTGAACGCCTGGATTAGTTCATGTTCGGACTATGTCACGGAAGATAAAAAATGCAATATAGCAATCGAGTGATGTCACAAGAATATTTATTGGATGATGCAAACATCTGGTGTCTGTGTTAAATCATAGGCTCGGGATACACAGTAGCAGAGGGAGGTGAGATACACGTACTAACGTATTCAATCTACCATTGGCAATCTCTCCTTTGTTCAACTTGGTGTTGTTTCCGCTGGTGTAATGGAATGGACATGAGCCAATTGCATTCCATTTCATGACACTATCTAATTCGCCTACAGATTGGCAGTGATCCGATGTGGTCCTAGAGGAGCCCACGACATATCAAGTATGGTAGAGTATCAAGCTAAGGCTTAATATATGCCTAAAACAGTCTATAGTATAGGATGATCAATAGATAAGTGTCTTGACTATGGGTGTTTACAATTTTGTCATGTGTTGATTCCAAACTTGAAACTAAACAGTTAACCGCGACTCTGTGTGAAACCAACAAACAGTACTGTGTTGTCATCAAAACTTGTATTCTAAGATTCACTAAGTTCTCAAATCCAAGTTAGCACTAAGGCAGTACAGAAATGTGTTGTCATCAAAACTTGTATCCTAAGATTCACTAAGTTCACAAATCCAAGTTAGCACTAAGGCAGTACAGAAATGTGTTGTCATCAAAACTTGTATCCTAAGATTCACTAAGTTCACAAATCCAAGTTAGCACTAAGGCAGTACAGAAATGTGTTGTCATCAAAACTTGTATCCTAAGATTCACTAAGTTCACAAATCCAAGTTAGCACTAAGACAGTACAGAACAGAGTGGCAGTACCTACTCAGGGGTTATACGATACAAGAACAGTGACAATAGCAATATAGACAATGATGGGAATATTCACCTGTCAGCAACAGTGATCCAACTTCAGAAACTAGGTCCAGGTGGAGAATGTCGGACATGGAGTAGTCACACAAAATGCTGGTCTTCTTGTGGCTTGAAATAAGAAAACACTACCACAATATTTCAACACTGTTCTGGTCGTCACTGGATCCGAGATGCCTGTAGTTTTTGTAATAAAGTCAAGTACTCTGCGTCTCAATATAGTACAAGTCTACAAGTACAAACCACTGCCCCTCACTGAATGTCACATATACAATGCATGACACTTGTTACATTGCTACACAGCACACTGCCACATAACACTCTTTAATGAGATAAATAATTACACAGTGTGGACGGGCCATCTGTCGGAGACTTCCATTAGTCGTTAAATGATGATTGTGTCAGATGATTGTCCATCACACCATTTGCCATGAAAAGTCAATCTCATTAATATCGCGTGAATCTACGCTCAAGTCAATCCCGGATTCAAAGAGGCATACCCTTTGCTTTTCTCAAGGTCGTGAGATTCTAAGTAGAAATGAAATGTTCAAAGATCACAGCTGGTCCGGGACGACATCGGTCGAGATCCTCCCCTGTCCTTTAGAAATGTTGTGGCTTACCGTCACGTTGTAGCATGATAATGTCCGATCACATGCCACTCAGCCTTTTAGAGGTACCATAACTTGTCATGTTGCCATAACCAGAGAGAGGTCTGTTTCTCCAGACTCCCCTTTATAGAACACGTCTGGGATGAGACTGGTACGAGGGGTAAAGAACTCGTCCGTAATGCCATCTCTGTTGGGCAAGCCCTTGGTCGGCACACGGAACAACCGCCTGATGTCTTCAATGCCCGCCGCTGCCTTGTCTGTATGAACACACATTGTGGGAACAACCGTCTGATGTCTTCAACGCCCGCCGCTGCCTTGCCTGTATGAACACACATTGTGATCACAACCGAAGCTGACATTGTTAATGTCGTTGTTACACCTTCCCCCCCCCCCTTCACCCCTTTAATAGTATATCACTACTACCGGGCATAGACTTGTTTTGATAAAACATTGATAAGACAGCTGTCCAAATATATTGTTGCTATTTTCAATAATATCCACATCAGTTTCATTAAAACCTACGATTATCATTTCCGCCAGTAAATGGAAAGATCAATTAAATTTCTATATTGGGTATTTCAACTAACAGGTGAGTCTCATTTATCCGGTAGTGGTGCCCTCCTCCACCACAATGATAAACACATGCTGTCACAAACTCCGAGGACATGTCCTTGCCTCGTGCTACCTGAGACAACATCTGTAGTGATCAGTTCTTAGATACCGCCTCAGTGCTGAAAGTATTTTACTGAAACATCTTCTTTGTTCATAGTTTCATTATTTATTAGAATAAATACCTTACCCTAACGCACTGATGTCTATACAAACATTACTATGGTATATTACAACATTTCCTCGCTTACAGACATAACGTATTCAAGTTAGAATTCTACAAGCTGTTGCAATACTTACAAGCTGTTATACAGAATCCAGAAGTCTCTACGAATAGGCGTTAAGAACATCACATGCAAATGAATGCATACATATGGCAGCCGATTAAGAATAAGGCACACAGGAATTAATGTAAAATTGTCAGTCAATTTGGATCTAAATGTACTGCTATCAACATATGTATACATTGTATCTATGAGACCTTTACAGATGCTGCTATACGACATAATATCTGTCGTGTTCCTCTGTGTGTTGTGTTGTAAACACGTCCAGGGGATAACTGGCAACATCTTAAGTGAGACTGGGTAGACTGACACCATCACAGTTATCACAATCTACCCATAGCTGGAACAAATATAATCATACTCAAGTACAGACGGAAAGGTAAAATAATTTAATGTCTAGCCCAATTAATGAGTAAATCATGTCACACTTATACCTTCTCTCTTTCCAGAATGTCATTCATGGAGCCCTTCCGCATTAAGACTGTAGAACACTTGCCAAACCCAACCAGGGAAGAACGATTGAAACTTCTCCATGAAAGCGGTTACAATCCATTCCAGGTCAAGGACAAGTATGTAACCTTTGACCTATGGACTGATTCCGGCACTGCAGCGATGAGCCACCACCAATGGGCTGCAATGTTAGAAACAAGCGAAGGTTGCATCAGTCCCGACAGCTTCGACACTTTCGCTGACACCATCAACCGTTTAACGGGGTTCCCACACATCCTACCCGTCCACCAGGGCAGAGCAGCCGAACATATTCTCTTCTCGGTTCTAGCTGAACCAGGTTCCACTGTATTCAGTAACACAATGTATATCACAGGCCGTGCAAATGCCGAGCTCAACGGAGCCGTAGTTGTTGATGTTCCCTCCCAGCAAGTAGAAGGTGGAGACTTCAATGGAGATCTTGACTGTGTACGATTACAAGAAGAGCTCAGGAGGGTGGATGTCGGCAAATCTATGGTTGTCATGACCCTGACCAGCAATAATCAAGCTGGACAGCCAGTATCCATGGCAAACATCAAACATGTTTCTGAAATATGCAAGACGCATGATGTCTCCCTGTTTATGGACGGGTGTCGTTTTGCAGAAAATGCATACTTCATCAAAACACGAACCAAGGTGTATCGGGATGTTTCAGCAAGAGACATAGCTCTGGAGATGTTTTCTCACTTCGATGGGATGTATATGTCCGCTAAAAAGGATGGGTTATGTAACATTGGTGGATTTTTCGCCACTCGCCTCTCTGACGTATATGGACAATTCAAAAGGCGAATGACCTACACTGAGGGGAATCCGAGCTATGGTGGATTATCTAGCAGGGACCTGGAAGCTGTGGCTGTAGGTCTCTGGGAAGGAACGGATGACAGGTATCTGAAGTACAGAATTGAAATCTTGGCCATGTTTGGTGACATCTTGAAGAAAGCCGGTGTCCCAATAGTTGAGCCAGTAGGAAGCGCCATCTACATCAACGCTGCTAGATGTTTGCCGCACATTCCCACAGAGCAGTATCCGGCGTGGGCCCTGCACTGTGCCCTGTACATAGAGGGTGGTATACGATGTTCACATGTCCACGACGTCTTGAAAGTCGACAGCACCAACAAACGTGAGGATCCTCAACCACAGCACTTCATCAGACTCAGCATTCCAAGGAGAACGTACACTTTGTCTCATCTCATTCATATCGGAGATATCTTCAAGAACGTCCTGGAGAAAAGGGGAAGTATTTCTGGGTTTTGCATCAAGAACTCTTCGGGTCATTATTTCTCAGCTGTCATGGAGCCCGTGAGGAAATGTTTTGTTGGATAGATTTGCTATCATTGTTTGAATTCCATTCTAGAAGATAGTGAGTCGATAATGAAGCTTACGACTTCATGGATAACAACTTCTTTTTTATTGCATAGAGCGACGTTTCGGTGTAGAAGTGACAACAACCAATGATGAACATATACACAGTATGTTGTGATAAACATCAGATTGACATTAACAAGAACATGTAATTGATAAAAAGTGACACACAATTGGATGGGGACAGGTAGGGAGTTACAACAACAACCAGCATGGGCCATGAAACCAATATACACGAGAGATTCCGCAGAAGTACAATATTCACCAATTTTCATGGATAACAATTTCTTCTGTTTCGTGAATGCGACGTTTCGATACATACCGTTGTCAAGCAGTTTCCATACAGATTCTTATGCAGTAATGTAATCACTACTGCTTGACATCGGTACAAAAATATATATTCAGACGTAGCACAACGTTGGGTAATGAATGTTAGATACTTACCAAGACATTGTGGTATTAGTGATGTATCCAGGTTGCATTACATTACTTACCCACAGTCATTGTATAATGCAGGATCAAACAGATTACAAGATGAGTACATTCAGACATGGAATTCATCTTTAGTGCAGTCCCTTAAATCCATTTTCAAAGTACTTTAACATCGTTCTCAAAAACAGAGCTTGAACCTCTCAAAGTTCTTTGTTTCAATATCAACATTTAGGATGAACTTCGTATGACCTTCTGATCGGAAATGTAACATAGTGTAATATTCCAAGAAAAACAGGTTGTGTAAATATTATACATTAAGTGTAATTGGAGATGAACAACAGTTTTGATAGTGTGCCTTTACTGCACTGGTTAAGTCATACATATCTGTCGCAATATTACCTCACAGATCCAAATACGTGTGAATTTATTTCGTAAATGAATACTAATCATACAAGTGATATTCGTAAACGTTGTATGCTTTTGTAAAAAGTTGTATTATAGTTGTCTGTCTGTACTTCTGGCCTTCAGGACCCGTGAAGGTCCGGGTTAGAATGAACCTTCAGTAACCCATGCTTGTCGTAAGAGGCGACTACCGGGATCGGGTGGTCAGGCTTGCTGACTTGGTTGACACATGTCATCGGTTCCCAATTGCGCATATCGATGCTCATGCTGTTGATCACTGGATTGTCTGGTCCAGACTCGATTATTTACAGACCTCCGCCATATAGCTGGAATATTGCTGAGTGCGGCGTAAAACTGGACTCACTCACTCACTCTGGCCTACAGCCATTTCAGTACAGGAAGACATTTCATTGATTTGATGACAATAATGTCTTGAACCCGGTTAGCAGGCTAATGCAAGTGTAACAGGAAAAGGTTTTGTCATTCAAATGCAGTTTTCAATTTATTGATTTCATCCGCGAACATGGAATCTGAAATTTAAAAAATGTTGGCAGGTTTGACTATTTCTTTATCTTAACATAATTATTTCCTTTACCTTTTTGGCTGTTTCTATGACCCTGAAAAGGTCGACGTCCTTGTTGTTGCCGTGTGGTAGTTAAGGCCTTGGTTGTGGTAATGGACAACCAGAATGGATGATTACCCACAACCTCCGGCAATAGACTACCGCATCCCAGGGCGATGTTACAGTTTCTGGGAGGTTGCTGTAACTATATAACAACGTTTAATCCATGTACGACCTGGTTTGCATCTTATATACGTACTGAGTGCTGACGTTCTATCAGTTGGAAAACCCCTACTCTTGGCTTGTTTCCAACATAGATTCCTGCATTTCTGAATCTCACTCATGGCATTCGTGGGGGTACAGATGTATGTAATATGGATTGTTAATTATTGTTGCTGCCACATATTCTGACCCATTTTCTTGTCTTTGTGATTGTAAAACTAATTCAGTGTGTTTCAATACATTATGATAATTTCCTTGGCCTTTGTATGGTTGTTGACTGCACCAAAAGGTTTTGGACTCCAGAAAATGTCATAAAACTGCACCGTTAACCTTTCACAGTGGCTGTATATGGCTTTGTTTCTCGCACCAAACTGAAAACATTGAAATCAGAACCAGACGAACCTTACCACAGTATACTGACGAAATCATACATCTCTAGAGAGGCAGTATCGGTCTCTTGGGACATCCCAAGAACACAGGCTGGTTGAGAAAATAAAACCCGACATGAAGATGGACATTGGATTGTTTTGGATCATGGACAATTCTTGTGCGCAATACTTCTGCGATTACAAGGTGATAAGATTGAGTATACATTTGGTGAGCGAACAAATCCACCTCTCGGTGACACGGATGGAAACGAAATGACAAGATCCTTCTATACCATAGCTAATACTATGTTGAATCATACCCTGTCACATGGAAAATAAAATCAGCAAATGAAAGCATTCGAAGACAGGTTATTTGAAGAGATTTGTTCAATGAGTTTGACAATTTTGACCCACGGCAGGAGAACCAGGAGGCGGGTGGTCGAAGAAATACTATAATGGGCGTAAGTCCCCTGTCATATCCTAGACGTGTTCAGTAGAAGCAAGGTCTGGACTCATGGCTCGTCATTCTGCATCTGCTGGGAGCATTGACACTGGGACACTATGTAGAAGGTAAGATGAAAACTCTTGTTTGGATTTTATTATAGACTATTTTGATTTACAGAGTTAGTCTGTTGACTATGTTTTAACTGATTCTGTTAACTTTTTACGTCAATGCTGCCTTTCATAAACACGTTGCACTGATATAGCTGTGAAAGATATATGAATAGTATTTTTGGCCAGACGTCATATGAAGTTTCATAGAATATATATAATGTTTGTCTTCCTCATTGATAACACCTAAGTGAAATGTTGGGATAAACCATTCAGAAAAGAAGTAGGAAGAAGTGCTCCCCTTTTTGCGTCCCAATGCTGAAGGCTCGATTATTTACAGAACGAACTGAATTATTGCTTAGTGTACCGTTAAATAACAAACACCAAAGACACCAAAGCCCGCTTTTTTTTCAGGATCTGTTTCTTTATGCACATGGATCAGAATGTATGCTTGGGTTGGCAAAATCAAAACTAACTAATTTGGCTTTAGGTATTTTACTTAAGCATCAGGTATAGCGATGATTTAATATCGTCACCTGAACTTGAAATAATGAAAACAAGTTAGGACAAATTCAGAGACAACTGTGACGTTAAATGTTAACTCACTCACTCACTCACTCAGAGACAACTAACTCTCCACAAGGCTACATGACAAAAGGGATGAGTTTGCAAAAAATGTTTACGGCATGTGGTGGACATTTCAAAATTTGAGATAGCATCGGAAAGTGATATCCGATAAAAATCCTCGTATGTTCAGGTGAACTATTGACAGGGCTTTACATATGTGGGCCTGACATCATCACTATTTGATGGTGATTCATAAACACATGCCTGTCATCGTATTCCATTGTGTCAATCACTCAACGGACTTGTCTAGACTCTAGTATTTACAATTCGCCTTAAAAAACTGTACAATTGCAGAGATAGGCGTAAAAAACAAACAAGCACATCCTCATAATATAGTCTGAATTCCACAATCGACACTACCTTTAGCAGGGATTTGTTATAGATGTCAAAAGGGTTTTGTAGCTGTCATATATAGACTTTGCGGATGACGACCTCTCTGAGTGGATGGCAGCAGACGGCTTCAGAGATGTTTCTCCTCACTGGGCATTCCAGCGTGGAATGTACACCCCTCAGTGATATTCCAAGTACAATAGACGCCTGCTGTTTTGGTGTCTAACACCACTTGTGTGTCACCAGGACAGTACCAGGACAGTACCAGCTCTGTAACAAACCCAAAACATCCAGGGACAACATTGGACAATAAGGATGTTTCATCACAAGCTGGTTTTCCAACACACTCAGTTTCAATAGGATTCGGATATGTTGAACCTGTAAAGATATAAGGCTAGTCTGTCTAATATATGCATCAAGTGCCAAAACACGCATTAATTAACTCTTAGTTGTTATGGGTCACAGTGTAAAGCGCTGAGTGTGGATTTGAACTCACACCAATGAACTTAGGCTATGTATTTTCACTTGTTGATAGTGGGCTGAGGTGTTACCTCCCTTGGTTTTGCTTCCGGTTTGTTTTCGGTAGGATGCTGTAAGGTGAAGTGAAATTGGGTTTAACGTCATGCTTCAAAATATTTCGCTCATATGACGACGTGCATGCGTGTGTATGTGTATGTGCGGCTGCTTGTACTAGCCCAGACTGAAGCTGGTTTTATAGTGCTAGCCCATTGAGATACCATGCCCCACTCAGACACATTATACTGACTCCGAGCCGACCAGTCCTTGTTGTACCCATTAATGCCGAACGCCAGGCTGGGACCAACAAGTACCATATTTTAACGTCTTTTGGTATGACGCGGTCGGGGATCGAACCAGTGAACTTCCGCTCTCCGGGCGGACGCTCTGACCACTACACCACGGAGGCGGTCGGTAGGATGGTGTAAGCTATGAGGAGATTCCAGTAATTTCTAAATGATTGTAGTGTGGCATGGCTGTTGCTAGAAAAATCTGTATAATCGCTATATAATTGATGGTTCCTGAGATTTGTCTGCTAGCATCAATGTTTCAAGACCGACCGCTCACCTGTCCTCGTCTACATTAAACTTTCAACACTCTTCAATCAGTACATCTGCTTATACTGGGGATGTCAATACTTTGATGAGTTGATATTTTTGATTTGTGATTCAATAGTGAGTGAGTTAAAATTTAGTCACATCGGCAATATTTCAGCCATATCGTGACTAAAACAAGTTTCAAATTGACCATAAATACATGCAATTAAAAAAAAACTGTCTACGAAGGACAGTAAAACTAACTAGAATATCACAGTATTAAGAACAAAACTAGCATATATCTCTAAAATTGGACGTCGGATTAGGACAAGACGGTATGAAAATAGGCTATAGATCGCCAACAACCGAAGGAAGATCACTTCACTAGGGACCATAGGGACTTACAGTACCTTT